CTTTGAGTTGGGGGCTTGGGAGGGGTATCCTGGCTCCACTACTGGCCAAGTCACTTAATCTTCCAAGACTCAGTTTCATTATCTGTAAAAAGCAGTCAACCGGACTAGGTGATCTCTGTTAAAGATCTGGCCAGCTCTAATGCATCTGATCTTTCATTCCCCTGCCCCACTGTCCCACCCCAGCTTCCTCCGGACCATCAACTGTTTCCAGATTGAATAATTCTTGTGCCCACTCCACATTCCAAATTGTCTACACCAACCACACCACCCTGTCTCCCTCTTCAGAAGACTGGAGATCATCCTCCCATCTGGCAAAGCTCACTTGGAAGCAGGAGGGTGGACTGGATGGCTTTCAGCTCATTCTTCTGGCCTCTTTGGTTGTCAAGTTGTATTTCTCTGATCCTGGGCCAAGTTTGCTGTGTAAGGAGAGCCTTGTGTTGGGTAGGCCCATTTTCAGTGACCACCTCCTCTCCTAAATCCCTCCTCTCAGCCTAACCCAATTATTCTGAGTCGTGGGCTTGGATTTCCCAATTTCCTTTGCTTTGATTTGGCCAGGCAGAACAACCCATGCTTGGGGGCTTGTGGCTGAGAAATGTGCCTGTGCCTTGGATGAATCTTACAGTGCTTGGGGCATGTTCCCATCTCCTAGGTATGACTCCACTGGGCGGGGGGTGGACATCACTGGGAGCCAAAGCTGGCTGATAGATCCCTACTCATTGCAATCCCATCCATCTCCTGCCATTCCCTTTTAAAGCACCTACTGTGTGCCAAACACTGTACAGGACACGGTGTTCCTGGTTTTAATTCATGAAAAATTCCATTCCATACACATCTTCCCCTTTCTTGCTACTGTGTCTTTGTTCACAGCCCCCTCCCAGAATGCCCTCCACATGCCTCTGGGTCCTTCAAGGCTGTCATAGGAGATGGTGCAGTACTGTGAAAAGAAGTCACAGGACCTGTCTTCAAATCCTGCCTGTAACACAGTACCTGTGCAGCTTTGGGCAAGTTAATTAGTTCCCTTAATTATAAAAATAGGAGGTTGGATGGTCCCTAGAGCCCCTTCCAGATCCATGATCCCACTTCCTCCTTGCCCATCCTTGTCCACGTGCTTCTCTCCCCCCTCCAAACCTTTATCACATTTGTTGTCTGGTGTACCTACCTGCCATGGTGGGTGGATGGAGGGGAGGGTAGAGGTGTGACATCCACAGCACTCAAGCATTTATCAACTACTTGTGCCCTCCCCCAAGGGCATGGCTGAGATGGCGTGGCCCATTTGGGGGCCAGGATCTTGGGGACACAGCAGGAGTGGGAGGCTGAAATAAATGAGCCCCCACAGGGGGCTGCAGGAGCAGCTAATTCAATTAAGTTCAAGTGCACTCAACAAGGTTCTATGAAGCACCCACTGTGTGCTAGGGGCTGTGCATGGAAAGGCAAACACCTGCTAGAAGGCAGAGCAGCTGCCTGTTCCATCAAATCCTCACTTGGTCTTCATGGACCTTGGCTTCCTCATCTATAAATGCTTGAAATGGAGAGGTTCCCTTGAGGGTGGGTCACCACAGTTTATACCCGGACTCTCTCCCCCTTCTGCTGGTTGCCAGATGATTATCATCATTTTAATGGTCTAAGCAAAACAAAGTACTAGACCAATGGGATGGGAGATGTGGGGCAGCTGGGGTGCTCACAGTACTAGTTTTGAGCATCTTTCCTTTGGTGAGCTCACAAGACTTGAGCTTCAGTCCAGATCCTCCCTTAAATAGACTGTCCCAAAGTTCAGTTCTAAGCCATGAAGCTAAGCACAAAGACTTCTGGGACTCCTTGTATTGAATCTATTACTCAACCCGAACCAATGGGGTAGACACGGACAAGATGGCACCAAGACCTCCACTGCTGCTTTTTCCCTCTGGGTCATAGCACTCAGACTTTGGCTTAGGTCTCTGCACATAGTGGGCGCCATCCCATCTTCCCATGTCATGCTCAGAGCTCTGAAGGGTGGGAACAGAGGAGTGGTACCCACCCCTGAATCTCACTACCTACAAAATGATCCAGCATGTTGGAAGAGGACTGTATTTGGAGTCTGTCCATCCATCCATCCATCCATCCATCCATCCATCCGTCCGTCCGTCCGTCCGTCCATCCATCCATCCATCCATCCATCTATCCATCCGTCCGTCCGTCCGTCTGTCCATCCATCCATCCATCCATCCATCCATCCGTCTGTCCGTCCGTCCGTCCGTCCATCCGTCCATCCATCCATCCGTCCATCCATTCATCCATCCGTCCATCCATCCAGCCAGCCAGCCAGCCAGCACTGATCAGAGAAACATTAGAGTACAGCGGAGAGATGCTTGATTTGGGTGCCGAATTTGGTGCCTCTGGAGTTTGAATCATGATTCTGTTCGTTTGCTGCTGTAGGATCTTAGGCAAATTACTTCACTTCCTTAGGCTTCAGTCTCCTCATCTGTAAAATGAAGGGTTTGGACTAGATGGCCTGTGAGGTCCTTTCACCTCCACACCTTGATGCTATGAGTTGTGGCTGTTACATACCAGACATTATGCTAGGCATTGGAGACAGTCCCCGCCCTCAAGGAGCTGAGGGCCTCCTGGGAGATGGGGATGACGATGAGGATAAGGACAACTAGCATTTATATATTGCTTTAAGGTTCGTGTCTAGATGACACAACATAATAAATGAATGAGTAAGTGAAAAGACACTTTAAAAGCACTTATTAGGTGCCCAACACTGGAAATACAAATAGAAAAGTCAGATAGTCCTGCCCCCGAGGTCCTGAGATGTGTGAAAGGGTTGAGCTCAAGGACAGATGGAATAGCCCAATGGTCCCTAGTGGGCCCAGGTGTCTAAAAGGCATACCACAGGGTAGCTGGTAAGAACCAGGGCTGGTAGAGCAGATGGTAAGGCCCAGTGGTCTTCCATTTTGCCTGAAGGGATATTGTTGCTGTCTCTTTGTTCATTCAAGCAGTACATTCGAGCAAGTAAGCAGTAGTGGGAGTGCCTGGGCCTAGCCTGCCACTTTGGGGTAGGGGGAAGTGGCTCAAGGTTCAGAGTAGGGAAAGGGCTCTTGGACCCCTCCCAAAGTGATAAGGTTGGGTGGTCAGTATCCAGACAGGAGGGGGAAAGTGGAAGAAAGCATGGAGTGAAAGATTGGAGGCAGGATGGAGGTGTTCTTGCCTGGACCTCTGGTTCCCAGACTGTATTTAGTTCATAGATAACTAAAAATAAATACCCAATGTTGGGGTAGGGGAAGAAGTGTGGATATTAACACTGCAAGGAATCAGTGAAGGCCGCATGAGGGGCATGGCTCTTGAAAGGCCTTGAAGGATATCGGGGATTCTAAGAAGGAGGTGAAGAAGTGGAACATTCCAGGCCTGGGTATGGGGGAGGGGGGGAGGGGAGACAGCCTGGACCAAGACATGGAGGCAAGAGATGGCACGCCATGTTGAGAGAGCACCAAGTAGGTCAGTAGAGTGTAGAATGCACACGTGAAGGAGAGTAAGGAGTCTGAGAATCTGGGTTCAAATGCTGACTCTGATTTCTAATTTAAATCCTATGATCCTATGATCTGATTAAGGTCTATTGCCAGGCAAAGGATGTGCTCCTTAAAGAGATGAAGTGATTGGCTCCTTGTAGCAAAGCTAGTGAAGTGTTGGAGCCGGGGCTCCAAGTCGACTTCCAAGTTCAAATGAGACCAGAGCTCTTTCCACTACATTCTGAGGTTCTAGTCCTGGGTGACATTGGGCAGTTTCCTTAATATCTCTAAGCTTCAGTTCCCTCCTCTGTAAGATGAAGGGGTTGGATTAGATGACATCAAAGGTCCCTTGAGCTCTATATCCCTGGAGCCAATGAGTAACAATGGGGAGTGTCCAGTGCAGATTGCATCTAGGAGGCGGCACCGAGGTTAAAGGTGCCTGGCACAAAACACTAAGGGACTTTGAGCTGGTCTTCTCAGTGTGGAATGAATGGCCAATTGGCATTTTCTCTTTGGTATTGATACAAGGATTTTTAATAGCTGGCAATGAGCTCCTTCTGCTGTTTGGTCTATGTGAGGACACCTGGAATCTTGGCTAAGGGGAACAGGAATCCTCCCTTGACCACCCCAGTTGGGCTTATAGAAAGGGACACATCTCTTGCTCAGTCATTTCCATTCAACAATCATGGGACCTAAAGATCTGGAGTTGGGAAAAAAAAGTACCTCTTTTTATAGGTGGGGAAACTGAGTTCAAATTCTGCCTCTGACCTTGAACAAGTTAATTCCTCCTCTCTATGGCACCATTTCCTTACCCATAAAAGGAAGTGACTGGACTAGGTGATCTCTCAGGTCCTTGCCAGCCCTAAATGAATCCAGTTAAATCCACCCAGCCCATGACCCACCCTGAAGGCTCCCCCCCCGCACCTTCTGCCATCTAGGGTTGTTTTCATGGCAGCCCCATCTCAGCTCGTTTAATAAGAGACTCGTGCCCAGTTAAAGGCATTTATGGCATCTAGGGGCTGGTGGGGGAGGGATGAGTTGGAGGAAGGGAGTCTTCCGGATGTCCCTGGAATCACCCCACTTTGGGTCACTACTACCCATGCAAAGCTGGCCTTGGGCCTAAACATTCACTCACTCCTTGCTGTCCAGTTTACAGAGAGAAGGTACAGAAAACAGTTAGCCAAAGACACAAGACAGGATGTCATCAGGTGGGCATCAGACTGTGACTTAGGCAGACAGTAGTTGATTCACAGGTTGTACAGTCTGGTTTGGTGTCTCTAAGACCAACCCAAAGAGAGTGGACCCTGCCGGTCTGCTTCTATCATGCAGGGGCTGGGTTGAAAGCTGAAGGCCATTCAACTTAGGTCTTTGATCCAGGAGCAGTCATCTGTTCTCCACTCAGAATCCCCCTCTTGGAGTCTTCTCTTCCCCAGCCAATTTCCTCCTCACCCCTTGTGATGATGACGTGCTATATGATCTGGAGCTGATTTTCCTCTTCTTTCCTCCCTCCTATAGAAACTGAAACTTCATTTGACCAGGCGACGAGAGCCCCGGGATACATCATTGAGATGTAACTGTCCCCCAGGTAAGGAGCAGCCTGGGCAAGAAGGGCGTGGGTTGGGGGGAATGTTGCAGACATGACCCTGGACAATGTCCCATCTGCCACCAGTGTTTATGTGTGTATGTGTGTTGGGCTGGGGGGGTAACATGACCCCAGCTGTAAGCAAAAATTCAATCATCCTGCAGGAGTCTAATGGGGGGTTTTACTTATAAACTTTATAAAACCTTATTGGCCTCCCTGAGCTGGATGAGAGGAAGCGTGTTTTACTGCTGAATTTGAAACCGGGAGGCCTGGATTCAGATCAAAACTCTGCCATTAACTTGTTGTGTGTCCTTTGATAAGTCTTTTCCTTGTCTGGACTCAGTTTTCCCATCTGTGAAATAAAGCAGTTGGGTTAAGTCATCACTAAGAATTTATTAACTCTCCAGTTGTAACTTGGAGGCAACATAGGTCAGTAAAAAAAAGGGGAAAAAAGTATGCCAGTTTAGGGTTGGAGGATCTGGGTTCAAATCCTGGCTTTGTCATTTGCTACCTGCGTGACCTTGAGCAAATCATTGGACCTCTCTGGGCCTTAGTTTCCCATATAGACAAAATGACCTCTGAGGTCCTCCCAACTCTAAATCATATGATCCTATAAAAGTGAATGTGTGTAACTATAGTTGACCTGAACTGCCTTTCCCCCTTTCCCCCCAAGCACCCTCCTCCAAATAAAATTTTATTTCCCTCTTTGTAATGCATTTATCTTGTAGCACCCTACGGTGGTGCTGCTGCTGCTAACTGGCATTTCTAGAGCTTTAAAGTATGCAGAGCATGTTATACACTTTACTATATCTGAGCCACAAGTGCCACGTTTTCCATAAAGTCTTCCATAACCCCCTTGCCCAGCCCCTAATGATCTCCTGCCACCAAATTTACCTTATATGTTTATACCTTGTCCCCCCTGGAAGAATGGAAGCTCCTTGAGGGCAGAAGTTGTTCATTTTCATCTTGATACCCCCAGTGCCCATAGGACCTGGCACCTAATATGTGAATGAATGAATGATTGATTGAATGAATAAATGAAAAAGCCCTTACTAGGTACCATGGACCTTGCTTAGCACTTGAGACCCAAATATGTGCAAGCCATTGAGACAATCCTGCCCTCAAGGTGTTTGAGTTCTAATGGGAGAAGGCACAGTGGATAGAGCACCATTCCTGGAGTCAGAAAAACCTGAGTTCAAATCCAACCTGAGGCACTTACTAGCTGTGTGACCCTGGGCAAGTCACTTAACCCAGTTTGCCTTTGTTTCCTCATCTGTAAAATGAGTTGAAGAAGGAAATGGCAAACCACTCCAGTATCTTTGCGAAGAAAACTCCAAATGGGGTCATGAGGAGTCAGAAATGACTGAAAATGACTGAACAACAGCAACAGAGTTAGAAAGGAGAGGCTGTTGGCTGAGCACATGCTGAGCAGGCCAGAAGTGACATGGCGGAGAGTGGAATGATTTGGAGCAAGAGAAAATGAAAGCTTACCTCTGAGAGCCCAAGTTGCAGGTGCTGAATAATGCTTGTTGACTGATGGAGCTAGTGCCTGGTGTTATTATCCCCATTTTACAAATAAGGAAACTGAGGCTCATTGATTTGCCTGTGGGTCCCATAGCTAATAACTAGCAGAGACAGGATTTGAACTGGGTTCTTGCTGACTCCAAGTGTAGGCATCTATTCACAGTCCCTCTGTCTCATCTTGCTGAACTCTGAGCTCCATGAGGACAAAGACTTTTCTTACCCAAACCCTACATAGCTCCCAGTGCCTGACACAGGGCTCAGCACACATATTCCTTTACAATATACGCTGAATTTAACTGAATTGATTTAAGTTTCCCTTTTGAGGAAAATTCAGTTCCATAGAAGGCAGCCAGGCAAGTGGAAAGAGCAGGGGGTGAGTAATTAGGACACCTGGATACTGGTCTTGATTCCACCACTAACTGGCTTAGAGACCTGGAACATGGCAATCACGGTTCCTGCCCAGATGCCCATGGAGCTGCAGAGATGGAATAAATATAAAAATAGCTTGTATAAATAAGCAACATAAGGTATAAGTAAACTACATAAAGTTTACATAGGCATAAATAAGCTACACAAAGCTTATAAAAATAAGGCATACAAATAAGGCACATAAAAAAAAGGATTATTATGGAGGGTGGGAACGGAGGTCTACCTAAACCCAAATTGTCCTCGTACCCACCAAATGACCTAGATTTTCCTATCCACACTGCTAGTCAGGAAGGGAGAAGGACAAGTGAAAAAATTGGGGGGGGGTAAAAAAAATAAAAAGGTTTGCCTGATTATCGTGGGTGTAGCAGCACATTGTAACAGAAAGAGTACTGCTCTTAGGGTCGGAAGACCTGGATCCTAACCTTCTCTCTGTTTCTTACTGCTGGTACAATGGAAAGACAACTGTATTTGGGGTTCAAAGACTTCAGTCTGAGCCCCAGCACAAGCCCCAAGTGACTGTGGACAAGTCATTTAAACCTTCTGGGCCCTCACTTTCCTCATCTGTAAAATGAGAAGTTGACCTTTAAGGTCTCTACCAGCTCGGAATATATGTGTAGTATCTGAAAGCACCCCTCCCCCTACTCATAGGGCAGGGCCCCCAGAAAAGGCTATGGTAGGTTCAAGTTCTCTATAGGTCAGCATTCACTGAAACTGTGTCTCATGAGCCCCCTGTATTTACTTGTAATAGTCAATCAGAGGTCACAATTCAGTCAAAGCCAAGGCCCACACGTAAGGATAAGGCACATACATGTTTGTATTTTGTGGCTGGAGCACCCCACAACTCAGCAGCTCTAGTTTCCCACATAGCCAGGGCCACTGGGATCTCCTAGTGACGTGATTGTGCTGCTCCCACCAGGCCTGCTCCGTACTAGTCTCTGACATATGCATCCACTGGATACACAGTCATTGCTGGTCACTACTCCCTGCTCTCCCAGCTCTGATATCATTGCTTCTTCATTGAGAAGAGTGGGCTCTGCTAGGCTCTCTTTTTAAAAAGCAGCCACATTTGTCACAGGATCAGCAATAGCCCTCCCTAGAGGGAAAAATCCCTTCTGGGCTTTACAGAGTAAGCTGTCCTATTCCCTTAGGAGTCCTGGATAAGAGGCCTATCATGGCCCAGGAATTTTTTTTTTGTCTGAAGTATTCATTACAACAAAGAGCAGAGCCACTCTTGGATCTTCAGAACATACAGCTAAGATACTCCAACCGTAATAATATCTGGCTGATGCCCTCAGGCTTCTTTTTTTTTTTGGTCTGATCTTCCTGGCCACAAGGTTTAGATCTCCAAGGCCAAACTTGCTCTAATGTAGGGTGAACGTTCCCTATGGCTTTTGATTTTAATCTCCCAAGTCTAGACTATGCTTTTTCTTCATCCTCATCCACGTAGGGGTTCTTCACCCAGTCATTGCATAGAGGAATCACACTTTCCTAATTTTTCAATTTTCTTCCAGGTAAATGAGTGGATGTGCAAAAGGCACAGACACAAAGCTAAGCCCATCGGGCAAGGTCATTGTCTCTCCTACCTGCCACATTCCTTGGTCTTTCATGTGTAGATTCAGACACAGTTTGAAATCACCCTCACATGTGGTGCTGGGCTCATTTTCTTCCTCTGTGAAGCTGAAGAAGAGAAGCTCTAAATTGAATTCCAGCTTTAAAATTCGATGATATTAAGGGAGCGTTAGGAAGCCTTGAGGCCCAAGGTGAGGGGAGACGATAAGCCCTTTGAGCTTCATCGCTGACTCCTCAGTCTCTCTCTCACTGAATTCTGATCCCTTCTCTCTGCTCAGGCAGCCACCATCCTGGCTTAGACCCTTTATCACCTCTTCCCTGGACTACTAATTGGTCTCCCCAGACCACTCCATCTACCCAGCTGCCAAAAGAATTTTCCCTGAAGTGCAGGTCACTCCTCTAAATAAATAAACTTCAGTAGCTCTCTGTCACCTCTGGAAGCAAATATAACTCCTCTGTTTGGCTTTTAAAGCCCTTCACCACCGGGGCCCAACCCAACTTAGCAGCCTTATTGTATATCACTCGCCTTCCCAAGCTCTCCCATCCATCTAGACAGGCCTCCTCTTCATTCCTTGCACACTCCCTCCATCTCTCCTCTCCAAGCTTTTGTCCAGTCATCCTGCATGCTCTCTCTCCTCACCTCTGCCTCATATAGCCCCCCTCTTCTTGCCTGATCAGCTCAAGTCCATACATCAAGCCTTTCCTGGGACCCCCGACTGCTAGTGCCACCCTCACCCGCCACTGGCCTTGTAGTTAACTAACCTGCTTTTACTTTGTTTTCATCATTTGGTCATTTCAGTTGTGTCCAACTCTTTGGGGTCTCTTGGCAGAGATACTGAAGCAATTTGCCATTTCCTTCTCCCATTCATTTTACAGATGAGGAAACTGAGGCAAACAGGATTAAGTGACTTGCCCAGGGTCAAACGGCTATTAAGTGTCTGAGGTCGGATTTGAACTTGAGTCTTCCTGACTCTAGGCCTGGTGCTCTATCTGTTATACTGCCTAGCTGCCCAACGTTTTTATTTTGTACACACTTGTATATATCTATATTGTTTCTTTTTTTTTTTCCTTTTGTGTCGCCATCACCTAGCACAGTGCCTAGTATACTGATGGTGCTTCATAAATGCTTGTTGATTGTATGGCAGAAAGAGCAATGGATCTAGAGTCAGAGGAGTTGGTTCAAACCTCAGCGGTCCCACCTGAGTGACCTTGGGCAAGTCAATTAATCTCTCAGGGTCTCAGTTTCCTCATTTGTTAAGTGAGGAAGTAGGTCTCAGTGACCACTATAGTTCCTTCAGCTCTGACTCTTCAATCCTAGGATTAAATGTTGGTGTCCACCAGAGGAGACACAAAGGGTAGGTTCCGGCTGGGCCAGAAGTGGGCTTTTCTCGGCCAGCTCGTGGGATTGGTGCTCCAAGGTTTTTAGGGATGAGGAAGAGAGGTTTTTATTGGGTTGCTCCTGAATGAGAGGTTTGCCTGCT